CTGTCAGGGGAGTCAAAAGATAATTACGTCATCATTAGGGTTGCCAATTAACTTCAGAAATGGAAAATAATGGACAATTGTGATTCTTTATCTTTTATTCTTTAAGAAAATTGTGTTTATTCTTGTATTCTTGTAGAAAATAAGTGTTTGTTCTTTAAGAAAATAAAGGACAGAATAAGGGATGCTCCAAATATTTGTACTGTACCGTAATGTATGTCTGCCTGCAGTCAAATAGTTCTCGGAAATAATCACAATAGTTTTGCTTAACCTATTTATGTGCAATTATTCTAAAAATAATTTTAATGTCACACAAAAAATGTCATCGGCCTGAGTAAATTGTACCAATATAGAATTGTGACTTCACAAGTGTAGTAAGTTAGGGGGTGGAAATACTGTGAAATTACAAATGGCATAGAATTTGAAAGCGTAACAACTGAAGGTCTATGAAACGTCAGTCAATAAAACATTTTAAACAAAGGCATTTAAAGTTTTTAACTAAAAAATCATTGCAACCATATAGCCTTTGAATGAAGGAAAATGCATATTTTTCAATTAAAGAAAACTTAGAGAGTGTGGGCTACTTCTGGTGCTTGGATTTGTACTTCAATAATGAGGTCCAAGTTTAAGAATATACTAGAAGTAAATTTTTTTAAATGCATTTTTTCCCTCTCTCTATTTAACTGAATTAAAATGTAGACGTCTTCCCTCAGGTAGATTGAATGTTGGGTTCATGATCAATAAGTTGTTTGCATTCGCCCAAACTGAACCAAAACGCGGACGGTGAAGGGAACGGAGACATGAGACAACTGACGAACTGGGATCTCGCCCGAGAGCCCAATCACCTTCGAGTGTAAACTAAACAAGCCAATGACAGTTGGCACATCAGTTTTTCGCTGAGGAGCCGAGACTACGCGCCCCGGCCGTACAGCGGTGGTACAGCAACTGTGGCGACGGAACGTAACGTCTCCGTTAACCTCCTTCAGGGAACGAGGATTACACAAGTAACCGAGACGTTCCCGTTCAGTCAGTCATGTTCGACGTTATGTCAGTCGTGACTGACGAATTTGGATCTCGCCCGAGAGCCCAATCACCTTTGAGTGTTAACTAAACAAGCCAATGACAGTTGGCGTGCATGTTTCGCCACGCGCACCCCGCCCCGCAGCACGGGTAGAAAAGGAGAGATCGTGCGAACGCACATCAGCTTTTCGCTTCGTAGTCGAGCATTCTTGACCCAGCTGGGAATGCTACGGAAGCCACATCCTGCGCATAGGAGGTATCATGTGGAAAACACATATGGACTGGCCCAGGGCAGTGCTACGTATGGAATTCCCTGTGGTAGACTCAACCCGCCTGGGGTGAGACGACTACACAACAGAGATGGTCTGACGACTGCCAGGGAAAGACACGGGCTTACCGTGAGGGGAGCCATACCGTGGAAGAGTACACATGTGGGATTGCCCGAAGGGGGAATCACTACACACGGACACCTAGCCCAGCACAAGGCCTGACCGCCGAGGGTGCGGGAGGAACTCCAACAGGGTTAGCCATGGGGAACTGAACTGAGAAGCAGAAAAGCGCAAGTATCCGGTCCTTAGAGGGGAATGGCGCAGCAAGCGTGATCGACACCAAGCGGGTCCGGTGTTACTGCCTACCTGAGGTGAGTACACGAGAGGACACGGGCTCTACACGGAGATTATAGAATCTCGCAAACGTGTTAGGCGTCGCCCAGCCGGCAGCTCTACAGATGTCTGCTATCGAGGTGCCACGCACCAATGCCCAAGAAGATGCCACTCCTCTCGTAGAGCTCTCACTCCGAGGGGGCATGGTAACTGTTGGGCCTGGTAAGCTAAGACTATAGCCTCCACTAACCAGTGGGCAAGTCTTTGTTTGGAGACAGCCTTTCCCGTTTGCAGTCCTCCAAAGCAGACAAAGACTTGGTCTGAGGTCGTGAAGCGCCGCGTACGGTCCACGTAAATGCACAGAGCGCGAACGGGACAGAGCAGAGCGATGGCTGGGTCTGCCTCCTCCCGGGGCAGCGCTTGCAAGTTCACCACCTGATCCCTAAAAGGCGTGGTGGGAACTTCGGGCCCCGGGTCTCAGGACAACGTGAGAGTTACCCGTTCCAAATTCTAGGCACGAATCGTCAACCGAGAATGCCTGCAGGTCCCCTACCCTCTTGACCGAGGCCAAAGCGGTGAGGAGCGCTGTCTTAGGTTCCACTTCAGCCTGTAAGCGTGTCTACTAGACGGGGCCCTGGCTGAAGTGATGGTGTTTACTACTGTTGGAGGTAGCCCACCTAGAACCTCTGCGTCCCGTCCAGGGATCACAAGTGGAGATTCCACAAGTCTGGACGCGGTTGCCAGAGGGTGCCCCCTCTCTGAGAAAGGAGATCCCTCCTCAGAGGAATTTGCCAAGGATGGGCTGTCGCGAGGAGGGTCCCTCGGCCAGGGAGTAAAACAACTGGCAATGAGACGTGTCCAGGGAGGCAAACAGGTCTACCTGAGCGTCCCCAAAGCGTCTCCAAATCAGCTGGACTGTCTCGGGGTGGAGTCGCCATTCTCCCGGAAAGCCTTATACATAAATGTAAAGTAAAGTAAGTTAAGAATGAGCAGGGAGAAGAAACTGACAGGGAGTGCGGGGAGAGTTAGTAACAATTCATATTGGAATCTGAAGCGGTACATTGCCAGAAAGCAGGAGAATGTGCTCCGCAAACATGGTGCCGCAAAAGGTGAGTTAGTTATATACCATAATAAATGAATAAACAGGTAGGCTAAGGTTATATTCGGTTGTACGGAGCCCCGATCATGACATGCAGACAAAATCACGGCCACGAATTTAGAATAGGCTAGTTCTCTTTTATGTTAGGACTACATTATGGCCATGAATTAAGAATAATTTTTTTCGTTTAGTCTAAATTATGGCCACAAATTAAGTATTTGTTCTCTTGTTTAGGCTTAGCTGCCACGAATTCGTTCATTCGTTAATTAATTCGTTCGTTCCCTTAACATTTATAAATAATAATAAATTGATTAAAAAAATAATAAAACCTGCTGACGTCATAGAAACGAATTGTTGATTCGAATTATATTCGGAGCTCCGTAGTTATTAAATAATCTCAGTTAAACTGTAGACCTAAGCTAACACACAGCTGTATATAGGCCTAAATACAGAACTACAGAGGACAGAAGATATTAGCCTACACCACTTGGATTTTGGAAAACCAGTGCTGGATCCCTCCCGCAAAATCTTCAATCTGCATCTCCAGTGGTTCTTCCAGCGCTGAGCGAGTGTTTTCGGGCACAGCGAATGCTGAAGCCTGACACTTTGTCCAAGCTAATGTTTCTTAAAGTAAATTCTAAAATCCAGTAAACATCAAGAGACGTTTTAATAGACCACAGTTCCCCGCAGTTATGGTCTATTTTAACTTGACACTAGAAAGTGTGTTTCTTTCATTGACGTCAGTTCATAAACCAAGCGTTCTTTAAGTGCATTTTATCTTGTGTGTGCTTTTCACAGGCTTTATAATCCAGGTGTATTTTGTAAAGATCTACACACATTTCATCTCGTGTGTGTGTGCGTTTTTATGAGCCTGTTTTGAATGTTCTATTGCACAACAACTGCAGCTATTTTCACGGAAATAAAGTTAACGAAAATCAAATACACTTTTTTCAGTTTTTGCATTTTAGGTAGGATTGCTAAGGTTAGATTCATATATTTAATACATTTTAATTAATACATTACAATTAATAAAATTAAGAAGAATGTTAGAATTTCGCTCTAAAATATGATAATTGCTATTTATCAGCATGCTTAATTTTAGACAATAATCCAAGAATTTCGTTACAAACAGTAAACAATTAGGCCTACTAGAGAAATTTTATGTCGGAGCGGGATCTGAGCGGGAATTGGTTCACAGTAAGTGTGAGCGGAATATTAACGGAGCGCTTGCTTGTGCGGTTAGAGCGACTGAGCGGAGTGCGCGTCCATAGAGCGGAAAACATAGCGGAGCGTCACACCGCCTCTGAAACTGTTTCAGTGGAACCGCCGTCTTGCGCTGGAAGAACCCCAGGCAGTTCAGCATTGACTGTGCACGCTCTACTGAGAGACGTGCTGAGAGGTTGACCGAGTCCAGCTCCATGCAGAGAAAAGAGATCCTCTGCACCGCGGAGAGTTTGCTCTTTTCCCAGTTGACCCGAAGCCCCAACCGGCTGAGGTGACTGAGCACCGTATCCCTGTGTTTGCACAACTGCGCTTGGGACTGGGCCAATATGAGCCAGTCGTCGCGGTAGTTGAGAATGCGAATGCCCGCTTCCCTCAATGGAACGAGGGCTGCCTCCACGACCTTGTTGAAGACACGAGGCGACAGGGATAGCCCGAAGGGGAGGACCTTGTACTGATACGCTCGCCCTTCGAATGCAAAGCGGAGAAACGGTCTGTGTCGAGGGAGAATCGAGACATGAAAGT